TGTACTACAACTTCTCGAAATTTTAAACAATTTCATGGCATGTCCAAACACTAAAGCATATCTAGTCGAAAAGACAAAAAGTAAGCATTTTAAGATTCTTTAATGACCAACGGCATATTGGGTTTTTCTAGACTCCAGCACTTGTAATGCAAATGTCATTGAGATCAAAGCAAATTGATTTTTGAAAAACTCAGTTAATTTGAGTACTTAAACCATGATCGAATCACCATGCCAGACTGATGATATCTTACACCATGAAGGTATCTGTAACTATTAGGTCCTATTCCCTTATTTAAACATATAAATAATACCCTAAGTCTGTCGGTACCTCAGTGGACTTCGTTTGTTAATCTTTTTCATTATATTTTTTCAACTTTATTATTAATATTATTATTAAAGCGAGTCTATTTATATTTATAAATATTTTTATTCACATTAATTTCAAACAGTTCAAAAATCAAAAAGGATAATATTATACACAATTTACTTATATCTATGTCTACTGAAAAAGATAGTATGCAGGGTGGTACGAAAAAAAGCAAAATGGTAAATAAGATTGCATTCCGCTTTTTCACATAATATGTAGATGACTTAGTTACATTCTATAATCTTGCTATTTCGTGGCATTTGATTTTTGAAGATTGCCATAGATTAAAGATGCCTGTCACTCTTGATTTGGGCATAAATAAGAGGTGCTACAATGAGTGACAATTTAATAATTTTGATTACTTTGATTGATTACTATGGCAAATTAATAATTTGAAGTTATATCTTTTATATAATGCCAATGTGAATTTGTTCATTTCCAATCTATAGCCTACATATTTTCAATGAAGTGCTTTTGATTAAGCGATTTACTTGAAAGAAAATATAACAATGCAAATATCTCTCTAAAAAAATATAGCATAACTTTTGTGCTTCAAAAAAAAAGCAGTCCCAACAAAAAAGTTATAGCATAATTCAATTGCAGGATGTAACTTGCCCCCCTCCCCTAAATTGTGACTTTGTTACATTCCAATTTCGACCTTAGATCATTTTGGGTTTTATTAATTAAACCACGCTTCTCATGCTAATTCCATTCTAATGTGTTTGATTCAAATTATTCTTATTTTATGTTTCTGACTGCTTTCTTCTTTTTCTCTGGGAAGATAAATCGGTCGTTACTTGCAGATACTGCTTTTTGCTAGTGATTTTAAATTGCGAATGTTATCCTTTGCCTCTGTGTTCGGATGTATAAATATGTAATGGTATAGCGGCAGGATATCGAAAAGACTCCTTTCAGGTTATTATTGTTTTGCTGTTGTTCTAGCTGTAATGAAATACGCAATTATTCTTGAAGCTTCACTGGCAGTTAAAATCAAAATTGCTTACTTACATACGGCTGTTTGTTTTAAAGTTAATCTTTGCGAACTAAATAATATTGAATAATATTGATCTGACGCAGAGGTTATTTATTCATACGTCAATCAGCCGGTATGCAATCTTCTTCGTTGGTTACCGCTACGTCTAGTAGGCAACCAGTAAAGCGCGTTAAGTTTCGCATTTTTGCATGATCGGAGGAGTTTTATTTCCCTAAATACGCTAAATAATTTAATATTTCTTTGCATTTCTTTTTTTTACTATTTATTTTTTACATTCGAATTACACGGCAAGGTGCGCAACTAATAATAGCGATCGATGGTACCACCAGATAACATACTACATAGGCCATAAGTTGACTATCAATTTTATTCGCAGTATCGACACCTCGACTGAGAGAATTTCCAGTACCTCACTAGCTTTCTTAAAATTATATGTAGAAAATCTCGACGGTTGCTAGCAAAATATATCAATTTATTATAAAACTTTTCAGTTACATAGTCTCTATTAGCCATGCCATCTCTATTGTGTTCTTTGGTCTAAGTACGTAAATCGCGCATTTTTCCGGCTTTACTTTTGCGTTGGTCGAGGTTCCGCAAGCAACAAGTTCGTAATTTTGTGGAAGTTTTACATATTTTAGGGATATGGAACCTGTATGCTGCTGTTTAATTTGGTCGTAGTGCCTTATGTTGCGTTTTGGGTTTGCTTTACCTTTCCTCTCGGCACTACAACCTCCCGTAAGGGTATATTCGTTCCGACAACGATTGAACTCAAATAATTCCTCTTTAACAAGCCACCAAACATAGGACCGGTTTCTCGATTAGTCGGGTGTAGGCTCCGCAATCCTAACGTCCAAGACTAGTGGAAAACCAGAACCCGTGTAACGGTTTTTTTTCCTAAGGGTTTTATATCGCGAGACAGATCAGTAGAAATTCGTAGAAATTCGTAGATTTCCATAACCGACCCGTTGAGACTCTTCTTGACGCTCGAGTATTTTCCCGAGGTCGTCGTCTCGTCCGAGTTATTAACGACGACCCTGTTACTGGCCGCTTACATCAGCAACGCAGGCTGCCAACCAGGTTTGATCGTTGCGCAACTCTCACCGTCGTTGAGTTTCTTTTTTTTTTATTATTAGTATTGAAATTTAGTAACGATATTTTTTTTTCTCCCATTCTGTCTCAACTTCTTTGCGTAAGTCAATTCCCTCCCCGAATAATATTATGGGACTTAATGTGCAAGTGCAAGCCGACGTGATCACGAAGGAGCTGTCAGTTGTCAGGGTCCAGGCGTGTAACGGAAACCCGATACCACACAGTGGGAATTTGGATACATTCCGTCGCAGACCAGTGGCGCCCAATAACCCACACCTTGTCTCCGGTTAACTTAATTTACTTTGGTTGTTGTCGAGCTATAGCATAAATTTGCACACACCTATACATCCGTTATGACCTGCTCGCTGCTTTACTGAGTGATCCTTATTACTTTTTTTTATATTATCATACCAATTTTCAAATTTAAATTTTCAAAAAAAAACGTGGCAACTTCTTTATGGCCCAAGCAGTTTTTGAAATATCGACGTGAACGCTTGAATTCGAAGTTTTTTCGAAATGGTGAAGACAATTACATTCTATTTTTTCAGATAATATGTGTAGTTTCTACTCTCACAATAATTTTTTGTTAGTATCTTTCCGTCACTTAATTTTTTGAAAATTATGGTAGTTCGAGATGTTTGCATTGTAATTGTTGATTTTAAGTACATCGCTAGGCCATTAAGAATAAGAATGAAAATGAACACATCCACATTGACATTAGCGTTGACATTCATTAAATGATCTTTGACGTTTATTTTAAAACGGGATAAAAAAGTAAATGGTTAATATGCCATAGGCATAATTAATGATGGCAAATAATAAAAATATGCATTAGTTGCTTTGTTGCACCCCGTATATGCCGTAATTAAACTATGAAAATACCCCTTTTTATTGCTTTTCAGCGCATTCATTCACTACCTTGTATAGTAATATAACTCATTATTTATACACGAACTCCTGTTGAATGGTAGTTACCTAAACATTTTGATTTGATTTTGCCTATTTATGTGTTGTTTGTTTCTTATTAGTTGAATATAATAATTAATGGATTTAAAGACTAGAAATAACGAAAAGCTCTTTCAAAAATGGAATTCAGAAAAATTTTACAGAAATTCTCAAATAATTTCAGTGTACAGGGTGAAGCAACTTCTTGGTTTATAAAGTTTTTAAGTTTTAAAGTTTATAAAGTTATGACAAAATGGTAAATACAAAGGTTGTAAAGACTGCTGAAATTATTTTACAGTATACAGTTTGGCTTAAAAAAAGGCAAGTGAAATATACATTTTTTCAAATTGAACAAAATATTTTTAAATTTGGTTTTGAATTCCTATTTAAATTCTTTAACTTTTTTATTCTGTAAATTATTTCTAAGATTGTTACCATAGTTACTAGCTACTTTATAATTTTAAAATTATAATACTTAACATAAATAAGAAATAATTGAATATTTATTGAATTGAATTTTATTTTATTTATTTTTATAATTATTTATTTGCATTATTTAATTTATTTAATCATAAAAGCAGAGAAATAAAATTAACTATTTTCATAATTGAATAAATTTAATCAAGAAAAACTTTGTTGAATATTCAATTATTTTTAATTTATATTAACTATTATACTTTTTAAGTTATATAGTAGTCAATAATTATGAGAACAATCTGAAAAATACTTAACACAATAAAATAGCTGAAGAATTTTAAAAGGAATTCAAAAACCTATTTTTCAAAGAAACTTCCACAGGCTACTGTAATACTTCTGCGTCAGTTTTTGTTGAGTCGAACTAGCTAACGTTTTGCCAATCATCGTCTTCGGGGCTTGACTGAAACTTTTTGGCATTTTACGCTGTACCTGCTTTCTATATTATTTGAGGGGAGCGGAGCTAAATGAGTGGCATAAACCCCGTCTCGGATGACTGATTTCAATATTGGTGACAGGTAAAAACCTCAGTCGTGGTTAAGATTGTTAGGCTGCTTATAGATTTCTATAGACCCTCGGATTTTTCGTTCGTAGAAGAATTGATTACATGCAAGAATTTTAATTTTATCTAATAGAATGTTAAAGCAGGTACATCGTAAAATCGGTCATCCGAGACGGTGTTTCTGCCCCTCATTTAGCCCCCCCCCCCCAACAATATATAAGCAGGTACAGAGTAAAATGCGAGTCAGTTTCAGTCAAGCTCTGAAGAAGCCAACAGCATGATTGGGGAAACGTTAACTAGTTCGACTCAACAAAAACCGACGCAGGAGCAATCCAGAAGTTTTATAAAAAGTAAAAATATATTTGCTTTTTGTAGCCACCCTGTAATAAATTTTAATTTCAGCATGCTAACAATATTTACAACTTTTGTGTATACTGTTTTCTCATAACTTTTGAAACCAATGAGATAATGATCTTTACTCTCCTATAATACACCATTAGCTTTGATGTTTTCCCCTCAAATTTTATGAAAAATTTCACTGTTGATTCTTTTTGCACCTGAAAATAAATGATAAATAATTTTGGACTGGGCAATTTCACTTCGATTATAAACATTTGGTTGTGTTGCAGAAATCTCTTTCGAAATTGGGTGAGGTTTTATTCCAAAACGCTCCGGAACCAAAGATAATCGATAGTACGTTCCAAATATTGGTGTGGAAATATGGCCCCACCATCGAAAACAGACATCTGAAACATTTCTCCGACCAAAGGTAATTGAGAAAAAGGGTTACTAATTTGATGAAAACGTGTGCGTTGTAGAATTGACCCCTTTGAGGGCTGCCCTGTGCGAAACTGTAATATAACGTATGATGACGAGGCCATCACTACGGCCGACATTGTGATAATGCACTTGCATCGATTTAATGGCAAGCAGGATTTACCGACGAGGACACGCTTGGACCAAATATGGGCCTTTTTGACAGACGAAAGCCCGCTACACACCTTCCTGAATGGTAACGTGAAACTGGATGATTTCGATGGATTATTTAATTGGTCCATGACCTACAGGTAAGTAGTAAGATATTTACGAAAGAAACCTAAATATTCGAAGAGAATAATAAAATGTAGGTGATCTGATATCACAAGCTTTTCAAAAATATATATTAGTATATAATTGAATTGAAAATTATACTCAAAATTCTTTTGTTGTTCATTTTTTACTTCATTTATAGCAGTAATCAACTAAAAATAAGATACATCTAAGCAGTTATTACTATACAATAGACTCTTTACTTAATTTTGAAAAAACAGGATGGTAATATATTAAATCATTATAAAATTAAGTGATAGTTGGATATAATTCATCTATTAAAAACGAAAAAACAAATGTGTCAAGAATTTAACTTAACTGATTGAAAATTTTTATTTATATTTTTATTTCCCATTCATTTGTTCTTTCTGTGTTTATTTTATTTTACTTAATTTTATATAATAACGACCGTGTATGAAAATTCTGAAAAATATGATAATTAGTATGTTTTATACGATGCAATGAAAATGCCCAACAAATTTCGGAATTATATTACCACGGGTAAGATTTTATGGTCAGTATAATTTTAATATCAAAGAAATGTTTTGTTTCTATTAGATATGACAAATGTTTAAACCACGTCTAAAAAATTATTTAAAGAAAAAATAATATTAAAAATAATAATAATATAACACGAGGTCGATAGAAACTCGCCATTTAATTTTTAAAAGGTCTGAATAAGAACTGTTTTGTGTGTTTGTGTGTTTAGGTTTTATTTTGGGGCAACGATTAGCTAACGAATTTATTTAGATGACAACTTCCCTCAAAAATGAATAAGTACCAACGAACCTGTAATATGACCTCCACGATCTTCGGATCTTTCAATTTTAGATTTCTTTTTATCAGGATATATGCAAAATAAAGTATGTAAAACAAGATAATAGTCTGGAGGCGAACTTTGAGCGGCAATTGATTTAACTTTCGAAACTCTATAAATGCCAAAAAAAAAAAAAAATGTGCGAGTTTTGCATTCGAGAAAATGGTCCCCAATTTATACAACAGTTTTAGGTATGTTATAATGTTAATAATGATGAATATGTTATAATGTTATTTCGCATTGGTTAATGGACTATATTAAGTTGAAAATTATTACAAATAGTAGCCCATAAGGCATAAAACACATTTAAATAATTGAATTTTAAAGTATTGACTTTCTTGTATGTTAATAATTGTTTACTTGAATATTGTTCTTAATAGATTAATCATGGCCCATTGCTACAAATAAAATAAAATATGAAAAAAAAAACAAATTTTGAGCTGAATTTTAAAAATAACTTAATACTAAGATGTATTTTTGAAAAGCTTAAATGATTTCCAATTAATGTAAAAAATTATATACAGTAAGTTTCATTAAAAAAAATGTTTGATTCATAACTAATAAATGGTTGGAGTAAGTAAAAACCAAACTACGCCATTGTATTCCATGGAAAAAATCCTATATGCTAAATTCTTGAATAACTATAAGACAATGGGCCCAAAATAGATAGTTTTGAATTTCACCCTTTATCTGAAAAACCAAGAGGGCCGTGATAATTATTTGACGGCTTCTTTAAGTTCACAAAAAAGTAGCACACTGTTAAAAAACAACCGGAATACCCCATAAACGTGCCCAAAGTGGGATACTCTGTACGGGATTTTCCCGTATATTTTTACATCCATCTACAGGGTAGCTCATAAGAGATACAAAACAAATGCAAATAAGAAAGTTTCGTGATTTTTATTGGACATTAAGAATTTTTAGTCGGACTTGTCAAAAAATTTAGGTTTTTTTTTTTAATGAAAAGTCTGGTATATTTTACAGTCCTTTAGGTCTGTTTTTTCAATATACCCAGTGTCTCAGTGATTAAAAGGGGCACGGCATTAGGAAAACGGACTGTCCTAGACATTTGAAAAACAAAGTAAAATGTCCAAGAGCAAAATTTTGTCTTGAATTTTAAATCTATTAAAATTTCCAACATTAACCGTGCTTAAATGAGTACTATTTTAAAACTGAGACAAATTCAATGTGTAGGTAAGTCCTAAAAGGCTCATTGCACTTTAATAAACTTAAAGTCGTCAAAAAGGCTCGTCTCCGCTTATCCGTCGTGCAATGAGTGCCGTGATTTTGACTGTTTACCTTGCCAGCAGATGGCAAATTCCTCCTACGTCGGAAACGTTTCGCCAATCATCCTGTTGTCTTCTTCAGAGCTTAACCTAACCATGATCTTATATCGCTGCCCACATATTCTTTCATCTCTTATAATAATAAAAATTATCTTTATTTTAAAAATCGACAATACAACGCTACAGGTTACAAACAGTAACCTATACAGGCATTTAATCGCATTTATTTGGTCTTACATTGAGTTGCATTTAGATTTTTCGAATGTCTTCATTGTCTTTAATATTGTAATTTTTTCTGAGAAAAATATCTCCATTTTTATACTACAGATGTTCAGTCTATAGCCATTTTATCTTGATCTCCTTGACAAAAACAACCATAATCGGCCTGTTTTTCACTATGTTTTTACCGATTCTATGGGTTGTTCACTTTCCAGCAGAACTTTCCAACTTCATCCACGACTTCCCCCACAATTTTTTTTTAATTTTTATTTATTCAAGCTCTTTTGCTCCTTTTTGTTTGTTTGTTTTTGTATGTTTTGCAGTTGTATCTGAAATTTTTCATTGATCAGTTTCAGATTTCCAAATGGACAAATACAAGTTGTGTAGGAAATTGTGAAAAAAAAAATAAAAAAGCGCATAGTCTACTTATCCAAGACTACAAACAGCAATCTATAAACACAGAAGCAAAAAGGCACTCTAAAGTACTCGAAATATTACAATTAAATTATCACAAATTTTTTATTTCTTTCGATGAATGGTTAAAAAATCGCACACCACTCACACTGGGAATTCTATAAGAACTATGATATTTTGAATAAGGAACTCTAAAGTCGTATTTAGTTCTTGTATTCACTGAGTGAAAACTACTGTTACCCTGATTTATATTGAATCACATATACACACACATAGATTATATAATGCTAAAATATTATTAAAAATAGCTTTTACAGGAATTATAATTGGAAATACTGCTATAGATCTCATGGTTATTATGCCATACCCAACTCTACTCTCAACATGAGCGTAATGGACACTTATTTGTATAATAAATAGACGTTGGCTCCCAACCCCGATACCAAAGAAGTTATAAGTTCATCATTAAACCACCTCACTGAAAACCACGTTGCATTTTTGTCTTCCAGTCATCAATCACACCTACCCGTCATAGATGTCGTAAAGTCACGTAACCGTTCGAGTGTTCGAAGTGTTTTCGGAGCGCGAGCATTGAAGATACCAAGTGAGATTTTGGCGAAACGTCTGCAGGATTCCAGTTGGATGCAGGATTCCAGCCGGAGTTCAACGAGCGAACGGATGATATCCCGGAATATAGTGTCATCATATATATATATATATATATATATATATATATATATATATATATATATATATATATATATATATATATATATATATATATATATATATATATATATATATATATATATATATATATATATATTGTAAAGGGTTGGGGAAGGTGGTTGTAAATCACCCTCAAAATTTAAACGAGAAAGAGCGGCAAGAAAACGGTAGGACATACAACACCCGAAATGGTTAATCACCCACCTTGATGGTTTCCCGCGTCGTCGTCTGCCCGGCCGGGTCTTCTTAAGGGTATTTTCTGGAGGGTTGGGGGTGGTAAGGACCACAACACAGCGCGGGGTTCTCGCGAACCGGTCACAAAAGAGAGCTTGTTTTTTCGTGGTTCGCACTACGGACGCTCACGCAAGTCTATCTTTTCGCGAGGCTTAACCAAGGTTGGGTATGGTGGGGGTGTTGTATACACAGCGCGAAAATAAAAAGTTAACCAAAAACAAAAAAATTATGAAGTTACCGAAAAATGTTATTCAACCCTTAACATTCCGGCCTCCCAAAAATACCCAATTTTTCCCATAAACTTATCCTATACTATATACACGGTTGCCCCTTGAACAGGTTAACAGTGAGGGACAGAAGATATTTTGACCAAAGGTCGATCGAAAGCGCCTTTGGCCGTGTGCACTTGCACAACGCGAATTTCCTTGTCGGAACTGGGGTACAAGCGCGGGATGCGGCCCAGAAGCCACTTTAACGAGAGGAGGTTCTCGTCTTTAATTAAAACCAACTGACCAACTTTTGGGGGGTTAGTCGTGGTGTTCCACTTGTGCCGTTGCTGCAGCTGGTGGAGGTATTCCCGATGCCATCTGTCCCAGAAGTGCTGATGCAACTGCTGCACGAGCTGCCAACGAGTGAGTCCGTTAGTGTTCAGATTAGCTAAAGGGTCGTCGGGAGGGGCAGATAGGGGCTCCAGGGTCAGAAAATGCCCAGGAGTAAGGCTATGCAAATCGTTTGGGTTGGAACTCAAACTACATAATGGGCGGGAATTCAGTATGAATTCCACCTGAGTTAACACTGTCGACATTTCCTCGAAAGTCAGGATTTGAGAGTCTATCACACGAAACAAATGGGTCTTTACCGACTTGACGCCGGCCTCCCAAAGACCTCCAAAGTGAGGACTGGAGGGTGGGTTGAAGTGCCAACGCACCTCACACTGGTCGGCGGACTGCTGGCAATACTGTACCAACAACCGGTTAGCACCGACAAAATTTCTACCCTGATCACTATATATGTCAGTGCAACGCCCGCGGCGAGCGACAAAGCGCCGAAAAGCGGCCAAGAATGCGTCTGAGCTGAGTTCAGAAGCCAATTCCAAATGGATGGCTTTGGTAGCCATGCAAACGAATAGGCAAATGTAAGCCTTCTGAGTCTTAGCGCCGCGCCTTCGCGCCAGGGTAATGGAAATTGGACCGGCAAAATCGACACCGGTATGCGCGAATGGCTTGACTTGCGATACACGAACAGGGGTAAATCAGCCATGAATGGCTGTACACAAGAA